GCAGAAAGCATAAATTAATGCCTGTACAGAATATTTACAATGACCTTAATGTAAAGTGTGAAGAAAATAATTGTACTTGTGAATTCATTTCCAGATATATTATTACATAATCCAAAATGGTTACCGTATATACTCGAGTATAAGCCGAGTTTTTCAGCACATTTTTTGTGCTGAAAAACCCCCACTCGGCTTATACTCGAGTCAGTCTGTATTATGGCAACTTACATTGCCATCAGGGCCGGCTCCACCTGTAAGGCGACCTAGGCAGCCGCCTAGGGCGCAACTTAGCAGGGGGCGCCGGATCCCTGCACCCTGCGGCTCCTCATGCTGCACCGCCTGAGCGCTTTAGCAAGCCCCAGGCGGCGGGGCATTGCTGTGTGGAGGGCGGCCAGGTTTGTGACCGGCAGGAGGGAGGCGCAGAGCGCTCCCTCCTGCCGGTCTCTCAATGTAGCGTGGCCGGGCGGCGCGGAACGCGGGACAGTAACTTCTGTTTCCTGTACCCGGCCGCCGGCGGAATGACAGGAAGTGCTCAGTGAGTGAGCACTTCTCTTCAGTCCGCCGGCGGCCGGGTACAGGAAACTGAGGTTCCTGTCCGCTCCGCCACGCCCGCCACGCCACATAGGGAGGTAAAAGGACCATTAGGGAGGGGGGGAGTGGGGAGGGAGCAAGGACCGCTAGGGGTAGGGGGAGTGGGGAGGAGCAAGGACCACATTAGGAGGGGGAGTAAGGACCAATAGGGGAGGGGGGGGGAATGGGGAGGGAGGCACCATTAGGGGTGGGGGGAGGCGACCACAGGGGAGGGGGGGAGTGGGAGGGAGTAAGGCGAATCTCATGGGGGGGAGGAGTAAGGACCATTAGGGAGGGGGGGGAGCAAGGAATCATTAGGGGAGGGAGGGAGTAAGGACCATTAGGGAGTGAGGGGAGGGAGGCGACCATTAGGGGGAGGGGGGTGGAGTAAAGGACCATTAAGGAGGGGGGGAATGGGAGGGAGCAAGGACCATTAGGGGTGGGGGAGGGAGCAAGGACCATTAGGGAAGTGGCAAGGACCATTAGGTGGGGGGAGTAAGGACCATTAGGGGGAAGGGGGGAGAGTGGGGGAGGGAGGACCATTAGGAGGGGGCAAGGACCATTAGGGAGGAGGGGGGAGTAAGGACCATTAGGGGAGTGGGGGGGAGTAAGGACCACTAGGGATGGGGAGAGGGGGGAGAAAGGACCACTAAGGGGGAGAAGGACCACCAAAGGGGGGTAAGGAGGGAGGACCACTAAGGAGATGGGAGGAGGGTAAGGACCACTAAGGGGGGGGGGAGAGGGTAATGACCACTGGGGGGGAGATTACCACTAAGGGGGTGGGGGGAGGAGGGGAATGTCTACTAAGGGGTTTGGGAGAGGGAGGGCCACTAAGAGGGAAGGGGGGAGTGAGAAGACCACCAAGGGGGGACTACAGGGGGCCAAGGGAGAGCACTAAGGGACAGAAGAGGAGAAGACGGAGGGACAGGAGGGAAGGGGAAATGAATAATTGACAGGGGGGGAGAGCACTATGAAAAAAATAAAGAGCAGCTCCCCTCTGTCTCTATCCTACCCCACAAAACCCTGTCTTTTACACTACACACATACACAATGCATCCCCCCCACACACACACACACACAGAAACATATAATGCATTCCTACTCAGACACACCCGAAACACACAATGCATCCCTTACGTTCACACAAACACTCTTTCTCTTACACACAGAAACAAAATGCATCTCTTACACAATCAATGCACCCCTTACAGACACACACTGCATTAAATTAAATACACAGAAACACACCTTGCACCCCTTACACACACACACACACACACCCAGAAGCATACAATGCATTCCTTACACGCAAACACACACTACATCCCCTATAAAACACACTACATCCCTTACAGAAATTGGTATCCCTATACACTACATTCTATAAGAATACACACACATTGGATCCTCTATAATAATCCTTGCACCGGCCCTGACTACAAAGTACTGGTGCTGTAGTTTTCCAAGAGTCCTTGTTCTGCTACTGTTGAAGAGACGCTTATTTTGTCAAAAAACAAATGCTCCGACCACCCACACTTATCGGAAAGCAAAGAACATCCAGTTTTACTTGGTCATTACATTGATAGCTGTTGGAGCTGTGTTTTAAGCCTTAGAGGTAAACCTTGCCATTTTTACAAAACTGCCTTGAATGGTTAAAATTACAATATCACTGCACCCAGGCCACCTTATTGATATGAAGAGGGGCCTGAGTGCCTTTCGTTATTCTTTAAAGGGACACTCCACTGCACAAATACACAAAGATTTTAATTGTTTAGATATACACATACTGAAAGCGTGCATTTAATAGTGCTTTTTAGCTTTCTCCCTTCAACTTGGGTGTATGAGAAAACACTTCTTTTCTAGCCCAACCCAGCATTTGTGGTTGTCCATTCACAGACATCCCAATGCACCTCCAGTAAGAAGGCTCTGCATGGCATTTAGCTCCAGTGAGCTAAATAACCAGAAAGTAACTGGACCAGTTCTCTGATGTAGGGGGGTGTAACGAGATAGATTTATGCGCTTATATTTTAAAATCCACTTTTTTTTTTTTTTTTTTATGGGGGAAAAAATACATTTCACACACAAAGCAAACAGGAGTGTCCACAAGGGAAACTATAGTGCCCTCCCCTCTCGTGCCCCCACTTCCAGTGGTGCAGATGGGGTTAAAAAAAACTTTATACTCCCCAACCGATGTCAGCTGGCAGTGGGGACTGCATGCGCAGCAAGTGCCACTCTCATATAATGCTTTTCAATCGGGTTTTGGGTTCCATGGTTACTGCACCCAGACCACTACAAAGAGCTTAAGTGGTCTGGGTGCCTGTAGTGTCCCTTTAAGGTAATGCTAATGTGTGTTGGAAAATTTTGCATGTTATGTATGAATGTGGTGGTATGTATATGTTGGCTTTCGGTGGTGTAAATAGTGTTACTGTCTATGGTATTGTGGCACCCACCAAATTTTAAAATGTAAAAAAGCATTTTAAAAAAAATTGTAAACTGTATGTTAGTGCCCTCAAGGCCCAATTATATAATATAGTAGAGTCTAGTAGGCCCCGAAGGGGGATCTCTCTAACACTCTGGCCCCCATTACAACTTTGTAATATATAGGTCTCTGATACACAGCCCAAATTGGCTCTTCTCACCTTAATTGCTGTGGCTGGCTGGCTGACAGGCCTCTTACTTCACCCAGTCCCTTAGTGTATCTTTTTTTCCTCCACCCTCTGTGTGTCTTCCCACCACCCCTTCAGTGCGTTTTTTTTTCTTTCTTTTCTTTTTTTTCTCAGCCCCTCTGTATGTCTCTTTGTGTCCCCTTGACCTTCTGTGTGTCTCAGGGCTCAAGTCCTGCAGGAACGCATGGTAACGGCGTTCTTGCACTTTTTCCAAAGCAGGAACGCCGTTCTCGCTAGTGATCCTGCAGGACCTGCCCTGCTACCTGCACACGGGGCGCCAGCACACTCTGTGTTCCCTCTCCAGCTGCTGTCTCACATTCGAGAGACCCACGGCCATCAGAGCATTGCCACGTGTTACCATGGCAACGCTCCGCACAGCACGCAGGAGAGTCGCGAGAGTTAGAGCTGGAGAGGGAACACAGCGTGTGCTGGCCCCCCGTGTGCAACGGCTGGCTTCCTCCACTGGACCACCAGGCAATCTCCCCCCTCCCTGGCAAGGTAAGAAGCAGGGAGGAGTAAAATAAAAATACTATAAACACATTAAAAAATAAAGATTTCCCCCCCCCAACACAGACACACACGCACACACACACATCATCCAGCACGCACACACACACTGCATTCATTATACACACTCTGCACTCACTACACACTGTACTCATACACACTGCACTTACTACAAACACACTTCATTCATTATACACACTCTGCACTCACTACAAACATACTACATTTATTATACACACTGCACTCACTACAAACACACTACGTTCATTATACACACTCTGAACTCACTACACACTACATTCATTATACACACTCTGCACTCACTACACACACTACATTCACTATACACATTATGCACTCACTACAATAACACTACATTCATTATACACACTGCACTCACTACATTCACTATACACACACTGCACTTACAAACACACTTCATTAATTATACACACTGCACTCACTACAATCACACTGCACTCATACACACACTGCACTCATACACACACTGCACTTACTACAAACACACTACATTAATTATACACACTCTGCACTCACTACACAGTACATTTATTATACACCGTGCACTCACTACAAACACACTACATTCACTATACAATCACATTGCACTCATACACACTTTGCACTCACTACAAACACACTTCATTCATTATACACACTCTGCACTCACTACAAACACATTACATATTTCCTGCACAGAATGCAAGCTTGATCAGCGGGCCTAAACTCCCCTACGGACCTGGGCTTTTTAAGGGGTTTATAACACTACAAATGGTATATCCAATTGTGTTGCAAGCTCAAACACCTGTGAGGTGTTTTTAAGGGGTTTAGGCTGAGCCCAGACTGTGGCTTCAGGACTCTCGGTAACTGCACCCTAGTTGTGCTTTGTTCGCCTCCTTTAACATTTAGGCCCTACTATAATCATGGGCTGAGTGCATATCGCTATGGGGATCTCAGACAACCCAAAAATGGTGTGTTTACACATATGCAGATCTAGCTAAAAAAAGTTTTGTTTTTTTATTTCTTCTTCAAGCCTACATTTGCATTTTTCTTGGCCTTCTTTTGTTGTGGAGTGAGAGCTGTTTAGATATCTTGCTCGATAAGCTTATTTTAGCTCCCATCCAAGAAGCTTATATGTTATAATTAAAAGTACTTGGTTTTTCATGATAAGATAAAGAAATAAAGTTTTATAAGTCAAACTTGCCTGTTTTTGGCACTGTCCTTTCATGCTTCCTACTTAGGTTAAAGCTACTTCTCTTTTGTAATTCAAGAAAATGGTTCTGTAATCTCGACGTATACTGATATCCTTCCATGATCAGCCTGTTATTGTTGTAATGTCATTACTTGCTTGTTGTATGTTGACTGCACCGCAAAAATAAAGAATATTAATTTATTTTTTTTAAAGATGGTGTATATAGTTTCTCAACGTCTGGCTCACATCTTACCTGGTTCCTCCCCAAATTCTTGGAGATGTGATTCTGTATCCGGATTTCTCTTATATATTTTGATCATGCCAAGCCCTTTCGCTGTTTTGGGTGGTCATCAATAACTTGATAAAAAGCGTAACAGGTATATACCTCCGCTTGCACAAGAGAGAGTGCACATGTTCCCAGCTCACCTCAAGCAGGGCCGGATTAAGAGCCCATTTGGCCCAGTGCTGACTATGATGGGCCTAATTACAGAATCTTATTGACAGAAAAAAACAGTTCTACCTCCCAAGCGTCATGTATCTGGTGGAGATGGTGCTGGAGAGAAACTTACAGGATATAGCTATCAAAAAACACATACCCTATACTAATCACTCGCTTTCATTGTTCAAGTAAATCCATACCCTCTAACAGCAGTGTCTGATGAAGCAGGATTTCAGTGGGCGGGATAAGAACCAATACATTGCTTTCCATTGTGATTGGTTCAGATCGTCACTTCTGATGATGTCAGCCAAGAAGGCAGATCAAGGGCAGAGCCAACAGCAGCAGACTGGAATAAGGGTACAATTGTACTATATTTAGTGGGGGAGGGGGAGACTGGTTTGGAAACCATTTCTTTAAAGCTTCATCAAGAATTTGTCACAAAACTGTTCTCCCTTGGTATCTAAAGCCTGGCCCCTCTGCTGCATCACAGATAATGTGGAAGTGAACTATTAAATTATTCATCCTGATTTGTTATTTCATGGCAGAGTATAGGTGTTACAGACTGAACTGCCTCTAGTGCTTACAGCTTTTTTCATTGTCATTCAAATTCGGTCTTATTATCTGAGCTGCTGCAGAAAATCGAGGCATTAGGTTCCATTAAAGGATGGATTAGCTTACCATAAAGTGTTTCCATGAACTCCCAGAACTAAAGCAGCTCTGTCCTGTCTGTTTATTTTTTTAATTCTTTATTTTTGACTCAGGTCATAGTCTCAATAAAAACATTACAGAAGAAAAACAACTTATGCATGTTGAGAAAAATATACGGTAGAGCATAACAGACAGGGTGTCTAGCGTGGATTGGCATTGGACCAGGAGCTGAGGGAATTTAGTTTTGGGTAGTGGGAGACAGCGCTTATTCTTAAGCTTAGTATGCCTAGGGGTTAGGCCTTATGGCCGAAGGATCCAGCGTTGCAAAAGACATTTAAGCTGAGTGTGCTTATATTGTGATGATAATGCTATAGTTCAGTTTGCCTAATTTGGTCATATGGGGAGCATGTTCTCAACAGTGTTAACATGTAGTCGTTGCGCTCCTGTGTTATAATTTTACCCCACAACCCCAGGGAAGGGATACATTTTGGCAGTGTAATTAACCTGAACACTTGCTAACACAAACATTGAAGAGAGGAGTCATAAATGGCATGCCCGTGTAACAAGAGGGCTGTTAAGAGGTAAGTATTAGTCCCTGGGTTGTTCAGGTCGTAACCGCTGTGGAGGCTCACACTCCAGCTTGTCGGGGACAAACTGTGTCCCCTTTGTAGGCTCACATGTTGGTGGCTGTTCCATTGGATGGTTTGGTCCTGTAGTTGACACAGAGTCCTGTTGTAGCCCCAGGGTTGGCAGGAGATCCGTGGCACCCTGCATATCATGGATCTTGAATTATGTGTCACTGTGTTGAATTAAAAGTGCCCGGGTTCATCTCCATTGGTATGTAATTTGGTGCAGGTGAAGGAGAGCCGTGAAGGGCTTCATCGTGTGGCGCCAGGCCAGGGTCGCCCCTGATAAATCAGCATAGAATGAGAGCTGCATACTGTCAAACACGTGGCGTTTTGGTTCTCGTCACTTGAAGGACCGCTGATATGTCTCTGTGGCTCAGGAAGCAAACCAGAAGGTCTCTCGGTGCTGCGGGCAGGGCTTTAGCTGGTCGTGGGAGACTGACATCCCCCCCCAGTCTAGGGAGTAGGAGAGTGGACAGCAGGCGCCGGATGAAGTGCGGTACCTCTGCCTCCGGTATCTTCTCGCTGATACCCCTGATCTTGAAGTTCAGGCTTCGCCTTTGATCCTCCAGGTCTGCGAACCGCGGGTCCATTATGTGAGTCTGCTGTTGCAGGTTATGTACTGTGTGTTTCGGCGGGAGTCGGCTTGCAACGTGCTCAGGCGGCTTCTCGGGCCTTTCAAGTCTCCACGGATCTGGACCATGTCAGTTTGTATGGTGAGCTGAAGCCCTACTAGCAGTTCTTTTATCACCACTGTGGTCAACAGAGAAATGTCTGCTTGTGGGTGAGACTGGAGAGGAGCAGTCAAGACAGGTAAGTGGTGTATTTCAGCCCCACTTGTGAAGTCATCCGATATATCAGAGCAGTCGTCGGCGTAGTTAGCCATTTTTGTTCCCATGTTGTTGCGGGCCTGCCGCCATAGGTCTCCGACATTTCCGCTTAGCTAAGTTTTATCGGGCTTGACCTTTTTAGTTTTTCAGCCCTTGTCTTTAATTGTAGCTACTGGTTCAGTTTGGTACCGTTTGCAATGAGTTTGGGCCGTGTTAGAGGGTCCAATGTGGGCGATTTAGTACGGAGCTCCGATTTGCATGCGGCCATTCAGGTCAGTAGCTTGGCTCCACCCCCCTTTCTTTTCCTTTTTTTTTTAATTTTTTTTTTTTAAAACCCCTTGAGGACTACTGACAGTTCAGGACCATCATTGGAAACATCCCCTTGAGGACCGATGACGGACATTTATTAATATAAAAATACTTATAATTAAATTACACACGTGTATATAATATAATATTATATATAATTTTTATATATAAAATTATATAGAATTTTTATATATAAAATTATATGTAATTTTATTCTAACTGTATTTTGATATATATATATATAATTACATCAAAATACACTTAGAATGAAATTTTTATATATATATATATATATATATATATATATATTTAAATAAAACGAAATCTATATATATTTAAATAAAACGAAATATATATATATACCCATATACAAAATTATATAAATAATTTCATAAATATACACGTAGACTTCAAATATATAAATATGTATATATGTTTAAATTCTACATGCATATTTATGTAATTTTATTGATTGCAATTTGAGGGTCCTGTCTGACAGCCCAAGCCAGAAATCCAGAGAATTTTATTTTTTAGCACTGTATTTAACCTTGTAATTTTCTATGGCACCCTAAAACCTGTACATGTGGGGTACTGTTTTACTCTGGAGACTTTGCAGAACACAAATATTAGTGTTTCCAAACAGTAAAACATATCACAGTGATGATATTGTCAGTGAAAGTGAAGTTTTTTGCATTTTTCACACACAAACGGCACTTTCACTGATGATATAATTGTTGTGATACGAGTATGTACATAATTTTTTTTTTAGGTTTTATAGTGTGTTTGAAAGTTACAGGGTCAAATACAAAGGTCAAATTTTTTTACATCGAAATTTTGCCAGGTTGGTTTTGCTGCCTTTTGAGAGTGTATGGTAGCCCAGGAATGAAAATTACCCCCATGATGGCATACCATTTGCAAAAGAAGACAACCCAAGGTATTGCAAATGTGGTATGTTCAGTCTTTTTTAGTAGCCACTTAGTCACAAACACTGGCCAAAGTTAGCGTTCATAATTGTTTTTTGCATTTTTAACACACAAACAAATATAAATGCTAACTTTGGCCAGTATTTGTAACTAAGTGGCTACTAAAAAAGACTGGACATACCCCATATTGAATACCCTGGGTTGTCTACATTAAAAAAAAATCTACATATGAGTTGTTATTCAGAGATTTATGACAGATAAGTGTTACAATGTCACCAGGGGCGGACTGAGAACCCTCAGGGCCCCCGGGCAAAATAAATCAAGGGCCCCCTTACAGGCCCCACCCATACTCTGCAGCAAGCGCCACCCTTGTCCCGCCTCCATGCACCGCCTCCAGCCACACCCTACACAATCTTTAGACACAAGGAACAAAAGGGCAATAAGCCCTTCGAGGCCCCAGTAGAGACTACAATTGAGGGCTAATGGGCCATGGAGGGGGGTCTTTCTAGCGGAGGCTATCTCAGTGTCCTTTAGAGAGTGTGTTAGAAAGAATCCCCTCCAAGCCCCATTAGAGACTACAATGGAGTCTAAAAGGCTTGGAAGGGGGTCTTTCTAACAGAGGCCATCTCAGCGCCCATTAGATATCCCCTGCTGGAAACAGTCGCCTCCAGGCCCCAGTAGAAACTACAATTGAGGGCTAATGGGCCATGGAGGGGATTTCTAGCAGAGGCTAGAGTCTAATGGGGCCTGGAAGGGTGGTCTCTCCAACACTCTGGTTCCTATTCACAATATAGCAACACAACATAGCTCGCTGATACCTAAGCCAAGTTGGCTCCTCTTACCTTAATTACTGTTGCTGGCTGGCAGTCTGTGGGCTTGCTGGCTGCGGCTGGCAGGCTGTGGGCTTGCTGGCTACTGCCGGCAGGCTGTGGGCTTGCTGACTGTGGCTGGCAGGCTGCGGCTGGCAGGCTGTGGCTTGCTGGCTGTAAGCCTGTGGCTTGCTGGCTGTAAGCCTGTGGCTTGCTGTAGGCCTGTGGGCTGGCTACTGGCCTGTGGGCTGGCTAACTGGCTGGCTACTGGCCAGCCTGTGGGTTGGCTGGCTGGCTACTGGGGCACTTGTAGATTATTTAAAGAAATAATCCATGCACAATAACCACTACTGCTCCAGAGTAAGTAGTCAAACCGTTTAAGAACAGTTTGACAACTTACCTGGGGTCTGCTGGGATATGAGGCTGTAGTAGGGAATAGGAGCAGTGGTGCAATGTGTGTGAAAGGTTCAGTGTGTGTGTGGGGGTGTAGTGTGTGAATGTGTAGGGTGTGTGGGCAGTGTATGTGTGTGGCAATGTTAGTATGGGGGGCTGTGTATGGGGGTCTGTGTGTATATGGGTGGGCAGTGTATGTGTGTGTGTGAGGC